CGTTGGGTCATCTGGAATGGAAGAGAAGCAGTAAGAAAGAAATGTGGAAGGGCAAACGACAAGCTTATAAGAAGAAAAGAAGCGCCAAAAATTTGAAAAACGAAGAGGCGGCAGAGTTGGCTACTCGAGGCCAATGAGCAAGGGATGCGTGTCCATAATGACGGCGGCGTCAGTATTGAAGAGACAGGATGGCGAGTTGAGGCATCAACCGAGCAATTCAAGAAACCGAGCATAAGGATTAGCTCGGTCAACGTCTTGCGAGTTTAAGTCGGGCGGAGAATCGACCCCGATCAGATCATGTAATCCCAGTCACGTTTGCGCGAACGAAATTAAGGGGCAATTGTTAGGGAGATTTATAAACTGGCTTTGGGCCGTGGTAGAAGCCGGGCAGAGAAAGGTCTGAGCATGTTTAGGCCAAGCTAGCATGGGCTTCTCCAGAGTTGGTTTGCTCGGTCGAGGCCCAGGTCCCATGTTTGGGCCGAGCTAACTTGGGCCTGTCCAGGTTAGGTTTGCTCGGTCGAGTCCCTGCTTCCAAGTTTGGGCTGAGCTAACTTGGCCGAGGTGATTGTCAGCCAACCCGAGTTACGTGGTTCACACATTTAGCTCGGCGGGAAGAGTCTTCTGAATACCGGCTTAATCTATCTAGAGCTCAATCGTACCAGAATGCTACTGAGCTCGGTTGTGATAGAGCTCGGTGAGTGGCGCTGTCGGGCTCGTTACATAGCACGGTCGTAGGAGGCCGAGGTGAGGTCGCCGGGCTGCCCCATTCCCGCTAATGTTGTCTGGCGGTTTGAGTAGGTGGTGCTTAGCTGGATTTACGCTGACAGATGGGAGAGCAGCTCCACGTGTCAATAAGCGAATGGATGCAGAGATGAGCGCAGAAAGTATATAAGCATGACTGCATCCCCCATGCTGGAGATGGAACATTATTTGGTGAGAGAAAACTTAACATTCATTCAGCTCTCTCTTTCTCTCCCTCTCTCTAAGTGTGTGCTAACTAGACCGTCGGAGGGGTTTTCCGGCGACACACCGCCGGGTAGCTCACCGCCGTTGTGTTTTCAGGTTGATCGGATAGACTCGGAGCTTAGACGAAAGGAGTATAGACAGCGACGAATATCTCCTCCCGGTACAATCGTCAATTCACAAAACCAAATGCAAACATGAACAGATATTTCTACGAGATAGAAACATAAATAATGCAACACACATGCAGTTAATGTAGAATTTCCTGTTAATCACTTATTAGGCATCTTTCATCATGGTTTAACAGTTAATCATAGGTTGGGGTTGTTACAGCCACTAACATTATATACGTTGCGGCACAACAACACCAAAGAACCAAATTACATCAATAAAGCCCAACGATGACACCACAATTCGGCAACATTACCATTAGCCTGTCAACTTGTCAGCTCGTTAAAGGTTATCCATTCCCCTCGGTAGCACACAGGTTACTCGGCATAGCTACCAACTTGCCGAATTCCTACTCATTAACTAGACTATTTTTCGAAACTCGGTGCTACACAATGATAATTGTCATGAACAATGCAAGTATATATCTTTAATCATATTGGCTACAACTGCAATACTGAGAACAAATCTAGTCGCTCTTTCTCGAGTCACATCTTGACAACATGCTCCACAGCATTGGACATTCTTGGAACAAAAACTATAGTTATTAATTCATCATACAACAATATTGCCTAGTGCTACTATCTCGGCATAGAACTAGCATCTCAACATGTTGAAGTCAACATCTAAATATATCAGAGGATTCGTGTCAACTCAAGGAGTCCAAACCCACCAACCCAAGAAGCCAAGAAATAACCAAAGTTCGCTGGTAGTTATGAAAACAGACCAAATTTTCAAAAAACTAAAATTTTCAAAGTTGTCAAAATCATGTTTTGACCATACCAATGTGATGTACTCATCGAGATGAATCCAACACAACAAATCAAGTCAAAATCGGTGCTAAAATGAAGTCGTACGAGCCAGTCCAAAATTGGCCAAAAAATCCACAACTTTGTCGATGAAGAAGAACTTGCAAGCAATAGAGGAAATCATCCCGTGCTTCGTAGTTGCATTGTAATTGGTTCATTTGAACCATCAGCTCTATTTTAGTTAAATCTAAGCCATCTGGAGTCCAATCACAATGATCCAATAGTCCTTTCCAGTTATTTGATGTATTTTGAGCACATCTGTGTGGTCAGAATTTGCAAATTCAACTCAGAAAATAACAGATTTTATTCGAAGACCAGCACCAAAAAAAAAAATACGAATGTACAAACTGCGCGCAATTGATCTCACTTTGCATATCACCAAGCATCTTACTTTGTCTCAGTTTTATTTCAATATTGCCATGGCAGCGAGTAGAGGCAAGGACTCCATTTCCAGTTGTTATCAGCCTACTCATCGGCAATTTTGGCCAAAGTCAATTTTATTTCTTCCGAATAACAAATCTTATTCGAAAGCAATGGGTCAAATATACGTTGTATACGATGTAGTACTAGTTTACTCTTACTTGGCACAACCACAATTCATACTAGCTTAAGGGCAAGAAATCAACTTAAATCTGTTTCAATGTGCTCCACTCGGTAATTCCTTGCAATGAAGTGATGCTATTTTTTAATGCTCTACCACTGGCATAGGTTTTTCAGTTTTCTACTTTTTTGTGCCTAACAAGTCTACATTATTTGGTACAGGCAATCAATGACACGAGATGTACTATTCAAAATCCTTGCAATGTTTGAAATTGATTGTCACTTGCCATCAACAAAAGCCTCTGAATTTAGAGCGCCCGTCGTGCTCGACACGATTAGCCATCACGAAAACCTCTGAATTCAGAGCGCCCTTCGTACTCGGCATGATTGGCCATCGTAAAAGCCTTTGAATTCGAAGTGCCCTTCGTGCTCGGCACGATTGGTCATCGCAAAAAGCTCCGAATTTAAAGCGCCCTTCGTACTCGACACGATTGGCCATAAAAAAAGCCTTTAAATTCGAAGTGCTTTTCGTGCTCAGCACGGAGAGCCATCAGCAAAAACCTCTGAATTCGGAGCAAGACATATATACATACATTCATACAGTCATTCATTCATTCATTTTTATTTATTTATCAAAAGTGTTCTTTTTCAAGAAACCTAATATCTATTAGAATAGAGTACCTTGGTAATAAAAACTCTCATTTCTTTTACCGAAGACAATGAAAGTTTTGGGCCAATTGTGGGAGCCAAGGAAAAAAAAAATCAGCTTATTAGGCTAACCCATGGGGACAAATATCACACCCCTTATCTATAAAAGGAGGGCACCCCCATAAATATAGGTATGCATTATCTCTTTGCACACGACACACGAACATTATTGATTTTCTTCATCTTCCTTCTCTGATTTCAATGGCTAATTTTATCATCAGAGTGTCTCCAGTCGGCAATTCGATTGAGTGGCACCGACTATGTTCATCCTTGTAGATTTGTTAGAGCTAAGCTCATTTCTTCGTTTGTTCTCTTCAACAATTCATATGAGAGAATTTTCTAGGTCTCACAATTTGTAAATTATAAGCTTTCATATACATATCCAAACTATCATCAATAAAACAACTCAATGGCCTATGGTGTGGTGTTGAGGGCACGTTTTGAGACAGGTGTTAATGCTAATAAAAGTTGAGCTTGAAACATTGAAAATCTGCTAAAGACTTATTAGTGTATTTTTATTTTATTTTTTCACAAATTAGTAATGTACCCGTAAAGTATTAACAAACTTGAATTAGAAAATAAAATAATTAATTAACCAATAAAAAAAACTCATATTTGTTTATCACATTAAATATGAAAAATGTAAAAAGGTCTAATTTTACTTAAAAACTAATGGTGGATTCTATTTCTTCTATAACATAATAGAGTTAAATAGATTTAGCTAAAACTCATGACAAATAAAAGAATAAAAGTGATATTCATGAGTTGGATCAAGACACAGAGTCTGAAAAATCTATAAATTGCACAGGATTTTGGTTCAACCGTTGTTGTTGCTTCTCATTTTTTTTTTTTTTTATTTTAAAAAAAGAAGAGATATCATGGACACAAATTTAATCACTAACTGAAACATTGAACATGTTTATAAAATGGTGAAATAAACTAAATTATTTAAGCTTGACTCATATTCAACTTATTAAAAATTCATTTGAGATCGACTTGTTATATAAATAAATTAAATTCAAACACATTTTAAAACTTATTAATTTTTGGAGCTTTGTTCAATAATATTATATACACTATAAAAAATAAATAAATAAACTACTAGAGTTTGATTTGATTAAAACTTGATCGACTCGACAAGTAAAAAAAGTTAAACCTAAACGTAAATTGAGACCTATTAAAATTTTAATATCCCGGCTTGTCTCGAAAATATTCTAATGCAATTGCTCTTTTTTTTTTTTTTTTTTTTTTTTTTTTAAGGAGGGGATTTAAGTTTGGATCAAGCTGCTTACCCGTCAAGGATAGATTGGGTCACAGGTAAAGAAATTGGGCCATTACACATGGGTTAGGTGCATAGAATCGGGCCCACAAAAGAAAGAGCCCAAGGTCAATCAAACCGGGCCTGTGAAGGCTTTTTCGGTAATTTAGTGAGACACCATCGAACCAAACCCTAATTCCTAAATTCTCCAGTATTTAAGCCCTAGGTTATCCTTCTTCCTTTCATGTAAGCCTCTCTCTCTCTCTCTCTGTATTTATATATATGTATTTGATTAGAGAGTTGCCTATTGATGGGAACCCTTTGAATTTCAGTGGAAGGGTTTTGCTGTCATGTATATATATATGTACGTATATATATAGGCACAAATTTAGTGCAGTATGGTTGAGTCACTTCGCCTCAGAAATTTTTCACAGGCACAGTGAATATTGATCTGCTAAATTCTTTTTCAACACAATCTCTCTTTCTCTTTTATGTTTCTAAAATTAATTTGATTTGTTTTTTTGTTGTTATTACTTTGTATGGAGAATGGGAGCTCCAATGATGGCATGAAATCTTTGAGACCTGATTGTTTAATTTGATGACAACATTACAATCTGAGGAGCACTTTATAAATTATGGATTTCCTTTTTTTTTAATAAAAATAAATTGTAATTATAAATATTATGATAGATATTATTATGAATAATCTAATTGGTTTTTTTTTTTTTTTGCTTTTATGTTTTATTTTATTGTTATGTTTGATTTGGAGGATTGGTATAGAAAGAATCCAGCAGAGATGATGAAATGTGCACTGGGCTCTGAGCAGTTGAAACTGCTTTTCTTGATGGATAATATGCAGCCTAGAAAGCTATTCCTGATCTCAATTTGTTATTTTCTCATTTATCCTAATTCTATTTCGTTTTTTTGTTGGTGCTTTTAAAACTCTTTTAATTATTTTGAATTTAAAATAAAGATTTATTGATTTGAATGTTTTGCAGCATCAAGTAGTATGGGCATTTTTAGTTCTTATATAAATTTATTACTTAAATATGGAAATTGATGGAACATTAATTTACCATCTAAAATGAACATTAATTGAAATTGAGTCTTAGAAGTTTAATGTAAGATGCTTTTGCTTTTAATAATTAAGATTTAAATATAATTTGAGAGAATAACTTTTTATATGACACTTTTTACAAAATTTTCTCTTAATTTAAAATCCTAAAATAAAATATAAGAGAATAAACCCTTTCATAAAGATAGCAGGAATTTTTCATCTAATTGCCATGGAGAAGTAGAGGAAGTGAAGCGTGGTTGGTTTGATTTTTGAAATATTATTTTGAAATAAGTTTTTTTTTGTATTTTAATAATTTTTTCGTTTCAAAATATTAGTCTCTTTTTAAAAAAAAAGTACAAAAATAATATAAATTTCTCATTTTATTTTTCTTTTAAATTCATTAACATAAAAAATATAATTATAATATTGATATCTTTCAAAAAAAAAAATATTATTAAAAGGTAATTTTAAATTTTTTTTTAAAGTATAATAATTATACTATTAAAAAAATTAGATTTCTCAAAGAGATCATTATTTTGAGGCGGAGGGAGTATATAAAAAAGAAAATTCAAAATTTAGCCCTTTCTTTTTTTTGGTTGAAGATGCTTTTAAAAGTACAAAAATTTGACTTACATACAAAAGTAAAAAAGAAAGAAAAACAGTCTAAAAATATAGATAGATTTTTGTAAGCATTTAGATTAGTTGATTAAAATAATAGATAAAAAATTTACCAGAAATATGAAACGTTTGTAATAAAATATTTTTAAAAAAATCAATGTACAGTTCCCGCATTGTTTTTTGCAACTCTTAAAGCTCTGTACTTTTCAATTCTTTAAACAGCAATGATAGGGATTACTAAAAAATCACATTATTAATAGCTCTAATGAGTTGAAAAATGTAAAAAATAAAAGAAAAAAAAAACACAAGAGACAATCATCACATTAGAGGGAGAGCCACATCATTAGTGTTTCTCTAGTGCTCCTTTTTTAGTGTTCCCAAGCATTAATCTTCTTTAAATTCACTGAATTTGCAATGATAGTGTGAGAGAGAACTTTGAAATGTAAAATTTGAGGTTATATAAAAAAAAAAAATTATGTAAGTTAATGTTATATATTATATAAATATTTAATAATCATTTTTTAGGAAGATTTACTAGAAAATCTTTTTTTAAGTGTTTGTATCTCAATTAGTCCATAAAATATTCTTACATTCTAATAAGTCTTATTATTTGAACATTTGATCTATTAAATTTTAATTTTCATATTTAAGGTATTTGATGGACATTTCTACTATTATAAATATTTTTTGAACGATTAACAATATAGTGATGTGAATATTCACATTTTACAATATGAATATTCACATTGATCGTCTGAACATTCACATTACAGAACATTCGCTTTGCAAATGTGAATATTATTAGGGATATTTTGATAATTATGTCACTCATAGAACTTATTGGAATATAAAAAAATAATGTAAATTAAATAGAACATAAATAGGTAAAAAAGAATTTATGAAAAAGTGTCCCTATTTTTTAATTAACTAATAAATTAAAACTATTCAAATTGTCGAACAATTGATTGATTTGATTGAGGGTTAATCACAAAAAACACTCCAAGGTTTTGCGTGTTTTTTAATTTAAACTTCATAATTTTAATTTTAACAAATTAAACCATAGAGTTTCATCCGTATTTCAATCTGATCTCTCCGTCCACCTCCGTCATATTAAACTAGCAAAAATCTGGACAGAATTTTAGATTTAAACCCACATGTTTAAACACTTTTATCTCTCTTGTCTTAACTCTGTTTCGCCTCATGTTTGCATCGTTGGATTCATTTCATGACTTAATTTTCATTTCATTCTCTATACGTCTTATTTCACATCTTTTTACTTGCCGTCACAGCTCCAAAAGTTGGCCAAAAATAAGATTTTTTGTTCTTTGGGCAAAATTTTTAGATTTAAATCTATATATTCAAGCACTTGTATCTCTTTTATCGTAACTCCGTTTTATCTTATTTTTGTGTCGTTAGATTTAACTCATGGACTAGCTTTTGTTTCATCCCTCATATGCCTGGTTTCACATCTTTTTGCATGCCGTCGAATCTTCAGAAGTTGGCCAAAAATAAGCTCTTTTTTTTAAAAATTTATTTATTTATTTTTCTTCTCCTCCTCTGTAGCCCCCCTCTTGGCTTGTTGATGCTATTGCTTTATCATCGTTATCTGCAAGATGAGGTGGTGATAGTAATGGAGGCGGTATCGTCGAATAGTAACAATCAACTTTTGTCTAGGTGGCAATGGAACATACAATGGAGCACGACGAAGCATAGTCATGGCTCTATGTTGTTCTGATTCAAGCACAAATGGGTCTTCGTGGGACACAAGCGACGAAGTCCAGCCACGAAACACACTGTGAACGATGTTTCCCTTGACAAAAGAAAATCGATCGTGATTTGCAACGAAGAGCAGAGGCTTTGGGATACTGGTGAAGGTGGTGTTGGCTTCGAGGATTACAAATTTTGTCACATAGGGATTGAGTTCACGCCACCGAATCTGCGTTAGAGAGAATTGAGCATTTTCTATCTAGGTGGAAATGCTCCATTGTATGTTCAATTGCCACCTATACAAAGGTTGATTGTCACTACTTGATGACACCGCCACCATTACCACCACCACTTTATCTTGCAGATAATGACGATGAAGCAGCAGCAGTAGCAAGCTAGGAGGAGGAGCCATGGAGGAGGAGGAAGAGGAGGAGGAGAAGGAAGGGGGGAAAAAAAAAAGATAACTTATTTTTGACTAATTTTCAGAGCTCCAACGACATGCAAAAAAAGGGTGAAATAAGGTATATGATGAGTAAAATAATAACTGTCATGAGTTGAATCTAACGACGGAAAAATAAAGTGAAACGAAATTACGACGAGGGAGATACAAATACTTGAATATGTGAATTTGAATAAAAAATTTTTGCCCAAAGAGAGAAAATCTTATTTTTGGTCAAATTTCGAAACTCCGACGGCAAGTAAAAAGATGTGAATAAGGCGTATGAAGAACGAAATGAAAACTACGCCATGAGGTGAATCTAACAATGCAAAAATGAGGCGAAACATAGTTAAAACGAGGAAGATACAAGTATTTAAACATGTGGATTTGAGTCTGAATTTCTACCTAGATTTCTGTTAGTTTAATTTGACGGAGATGGACCGAGGAATCAGATTGAAACACAAATGAAACTCTAGAATTTAGTTTGTCAAAATTGAAATTCTGAGATTTAAATTGAAAATTACAGAAAACCCTAAGATTTTTTTTGTAATTAACCCGTTGATTAAGGATAAGAAATTTGTTAATTTGCAATCTAAAGTTTGATTTTAATTTTATTCTCAAATCATATTACATTGTACATGGGATACCCTTACTCAATGTAACATGAGTTCAAAATTCAAATAATAAGAATCAGGTTCTTGTAAGAGTGTGCTTACTCACTCTCTCTCTCTCAGACCTTACTGTTTGGAAACTTTGTTCCCTTTTTTTTGAACAGTGAGTACCTGAGTCAAAAAAACTTTGTACTCGGTACTAACTTTTGGGCAAATTACAAACACCCCCTCGAAATTTAGAGAAAATACAGATTTTCTCTTAAGGTTTGAGAAATTACATCCCGTCCCCTGAGGTTTATATTTCCATAACAAATTGCCTCCTGAGGTTTTTATTTTCATACAGATTCTCCCATAATTTATTATGCAAATTTGACCTTCAGGGGGCAATTTGTAATTTCTCAAACCTCAGGAGAAATCTGTATTTTTACCAAATCTCGAGGGGGTGTTTGTAATTTGCCCCTAACTTTTTATGCAGCTACAAGTACAGAAAACAAATGAGAGAAGTAACTTGCCATTGTTATTTTGGTAGTATAGTAGACCATGCTTTCAAATAAAGATCATAGAGTATTACTAAAGAACATCTCTTATCTTTCTAACAACAAAAATTTATAAGTATTACCTCTTTTTAAAAACAATGAACTCAGTATATATCATTTAATCATGACCGCTTTGTTGATGTTGCTCACTAGCTCCGCATCCCAACACATCTCGTGAAGGTAGTATAGTGTTTTCGGCATTGCAAAAATCAGAGGAAGCATATATATATGATTAGGTTCAGAAATCATTATCAGTGCTCCAGAGCACTTCGGATTGAGAGTCGAGCAGTGTCTTGCACTATGCCTCTGGAAATAAGGTCATGGTTTAAGAACAAAACAATAACAGTTATATCGTCATGAAAATGGCGTCGGACCTTCTTGTCAATCTTCTTAAGATCCGAATATCGCATCTCCCTTTTTCTTGCTGCTTCTTGGAGGGCAGCCTTGACAAGCCTCTTCGCACTTCCCTGCATTACCAAAAATGTTATGGTGAGCACAGAGGTTATATCTCTTGCACTCACGGACACAAAATCAAAATCTAAATATTTGCCGATACACAGACCAATATGTATCTCGATACTGTTAGTTAAAACTGTGGACATTATTTTTAATGTTTTTTCGTTCTCTATTGACAAATAATACCATTTGTGTATAAAGGGAATTAATAGAAATAATTTCTATAAGAATGCAGCCACTGAATGGTTTTTTTTTTTTAATCAGGCCACTGAATGGTTAAAATATGAAATTTATCAACAAAACTTTGTGCAGCCGTTTTGATGAATGACCAAACCATGATGTCTCCTACGTAATATAAATTCTCATAATACTACTCCTTAGAATATACGTATGATATCTCCTATAAAACCAGTAATTCGAAATGAAATTACAGGGCCAACCACCACAAAACAAACAAATTATGGACAAATCAGGATGCAAATTTTAAAGGTCATTTTAATGTTCACAATTTCAGTCCAGAAGAGAGTGATTACAAAAGGAGATAAAAGATGACAAAATCTTACTGCACGCGGATGACTATGGACAATATCCACAGCTTTTTCATTACTCAAGTGTTCCCATAAACCATCAGATGCAAATATAAGAAATAAATCATTTGGCTGTAGAGGATGAGGAAGAATAGATGGGGTAGCAGACAAGATAGGCATATTCATCGGTTCAGAAAGTCTGTACTTCGCATTGAGTGGTTCCCTGTTGAACTGCACATCTTTCATATAAACATCACCTATAGATCTAGAAACCTGAATCACATAAAACCATAAAGTTTAGAATTAGAATCAGATATCAAGAAAGCATTGAAGATTCAAAGTACTAGCTGCTAAAATGGAGAACATACTAAAACAATGAGTTTTTTTGTTCTTCTTTTTTAGTAAGTACTAAAAATCTGGGAAAATACCTCTAGAGAATTTTCTTAATATAAAAGGTTTCAAAAGTAATAAAAATCAACAAGATCTGGTTCTCGTGTTTCCTTTTAACAATTAAAATTCATTGTTGTAATTTTCAAACTAAAGGCAACAAAGCTTGTATGTGGTACAATTTCTACTCTCCATTTTTTTTCCTTTCTTCGTAAGGTTAGGAATTAGTCACTACCATAAAGTGCTAAAGAAACTCATCCAAAAAAAAAAAGAAAAGAAAAAGGGCTATGGAAACTCAAAAGTTATCAAAAGATGTTTAAAGTCACAAGCTCATTGTGGAAGTACAAAAATATCCTAAATGGTCCTATGTCAAATGATCAAAGGAGAACAAGACTATTGGTAGCAGTAGAGATGAGACAAGAAACTTCTAGAGAAAGAAAAGGTGCGGGAGAACCTCCACATACATGAAATTCATATAGTTTAAGGGCTTTTACATTGACCAAGATGAGAGAAGGGCAAAAAAAAAAAAAAAAAAATTTGAACATGTCCAAACTTCTAGCCCATCGGAATAATGATATCTAAAAAAAAAATAAAAAAAAATAAAAAAAAAATCTCCAATCTAAACATACATTGGTTTGCATTGTATAGTTTTTTTCTTAGCTGCAGGAATCGTCCAACTAGGTGGGGATTCTGAGTAAGAATCGCGATTCCGCGTTTCTTAAAAAGAAATGTGTAGGAATTGCGTTTCTGTGCAAAGAGAAACGCGATTCAGTCCAAGACGGGATCGTAAAAGGGGGAGAGAGAGAGAGAGAGAGACCTAGCCTTCGATGTCGACATGAGAGGAGGAAGAAGGGTTTTTGAGAGAAACTTACAGTGAACAATGGTAGCAGCTTTGTAGTTGGATTGATTTAGGACTCAGATTAGGGCTTTGATTGTCTTCGTCACTCTCTTCTCTCACTATCGATCACGATCGTCTTTGTCTCTGAGGGGTTCGATCATCTTCGTCACTCTCTCAATCGTCTTCATCTCTCTCTCTCTCTTCGTCTCTGCGCTTCTCTCTCTCTTCGTCTCTGCTTCTCTCTCCCTTTGTCTCTCAATCTATTCGTTGTTCTCAATCTCTTCGTCTCTATGATTTAATGGATCACATATAATAAATATAATTTATCATATTTAATATATATAATAAAATTTATAAATTATAATTTTTATCATATATAATAAAATATCTAATTATTATTTTTTAAAATATAGTATAAATTGCATTACATTAACATCTAATTATTATTTCTTAAAATATAGTATAATATCTAATTTTTGTAAATTATTATTCATATTACATTTACATTAACATATAGTATAAATTGCATTAATATAATAATATATAATATTATTCATCCAAAAAAAATTATATAATATAATATATCATAAATAATATAATTTTTAACTTCTATCAGTTCACGCTTCCTCGCTCCCGCTCCCGCCCCGCTCCCGCATTCTACTACAATCCTTTAGTTACACCATATCAAGCCATTTGGCAATGTGCTCATGGCAACATTCAACGTCTCTGTAACTTCCATCCATCAAAGAATGCAACCACCAAGTTCAATTTTTTACTAGTAACCCTGAAAAGGACCAACTTCCACTACTCTTTTACAACAGGGTAATAGATGGATTGGAGCCATGGTTATTTCATCATAACTACACATACAATACCTACTTGGGAGCTCTCACCTAAATAGTTGGCTGCAAAACCGTATGTCTTCATTTCCATATGAAAACACCATCTTTAGTGACACGGAGAGAAAATTATGTTGCACAATAGCAGATTATTCTGTCCATTTTTACTTGTTTAAAATGCTTCGAGCTCGACAGGATGCACACAGGGCACTACAGTCATTCCTTATTGGTTTAGGTCTTCCTCATTACGTCAGTTTGTTGATGAAAAAGTAATTTCTTTTGAATTTGAACCACAAACCAGGGAGCATCTCAGACAAGACATATTTAATTTTTCCACGCCAAGTTTGTTGCTCATATCTTTCAGATTACTATGGCAGCATGTAAGGTTGAATCGAAAGCACCCTTTTTTTATGATGATTCCTGTTTTTTTTTTTTTTTTTTTTGCATAAATTTTTTTAATGATGATTCTAAAGCACACATTATACAAACCCATTGACATTTACACAAGCCTAATTACTTAAAGCTACTTTTGAGGTTAGATATGACATCTTAAGGCCTCGTTTGGCAAGAGGTTATTTTAGCCAATTAGTCAAAAAGTTACTAAATTAGCCAAAAAGTCAACAACCCATACCAAAAAGTCAAAGATTCTCTTTTCTCTCTACTTTTTGCACATCTTTTCGTAATTAGCCAAAAAGTCATCCCAAACATACAAGTTTTTTTTACCTACCTTTTTAGCCAAACAGTCAAAAAGTTACTAAATTAGCCTGTTCCCAAACGAGCATCATTACAAGATCAAGCATGTTCTCAAACAACACTGAGATTCAAAGTCAAAAAACCTTGATACATATGCTGGTCTCAAGACTTTCAAATTAAAATCTAGGGAATCACACACTATGAGAATCCAAGTAGAAACTGAGAACAAAGCGTATTTTGGACAGCAGTTTTCAGCATAACAGAAATTAAAATCATGGCTCAATCAACAAGCTTTTATGGTGAAAGAAATTAGAAGAACCTGAATAATGCCTTTTACTCTCCAAACTCCATGCTTGAGGACAACAATTTGAGGATCATTGGGGTGTAATTCTTTAAGCTCGTGCCTGACGACCTCAATGTTGGCATTGTGTTCTGTTGATAATTGTATGGCAGTAATAACTCCTGTGTTCCCAACTTTCTTCCCCAATACAACACGGGAATCTCCAAGATTTGCTACAAAAAGAGTCTGCCGATATATTACTCCAACAAGACAGCACGAACCAACTGATGCTAAGTTGGGTCGAGCATTCCATAACCTCGAAACATGAGCTGTGAACCCTTGTTCTGTTTCGAGAAAAGCTCTTCTAAGTGTGTCAGCTGTTACAACACCGCCATCTTCCGCTGCTATTGCTGCATAAACACAGAGTCTAAGATCACAAAAAATAAGAAGCAATTACTTTTTTGATGTTGAACCCAAATTATATCAACACACAGAGTCTAAGATCACAAAAAATAAGAAGCAATTGCTTTTTTGATGTTGAACCCAAATTATATCAACACGAGCTTCAACTCTTCACTCTATGGTGCCAAAACAAACAATCTGCAATAAAATTAGATTACTGTGGGTGTACGTGCGTGTATGTGACCATGTGTATCAAATACAGAACACACTGGTTAATTTTGACGTATTTAGAAAGATTAAACCTTATATATACTTTCAATGTATATCACAAACCATTGTTGTTTAACTTCATTTAAAGTTCAATCAAACCAGACCCTCCAAAAGCCATAAAAAATCCCATCTACTGCTGCATTAACAGTTGCCAATTTAGCAAAGAAAGTACAAAACCATAGTGTTTTAGCATTAAATCAGTTGCCAATTTAGCTGAGTAAATGTAAAAAGATCACAATTTTAACAAGTTACATATACCAATTCAATAAAAAAATTACAAGAATCGAACCAGAAGACGAACCTTGGAAGTGGCGGAACAAGTGATCGCAAACATATCGAGCCGCCTCGGGGCCTCCGTGACCGTCGTAGACGCCGACGAACGTCCCGAAGGGTCCGGACTCGATTTGGCTCTGGTCCTCGAGCACCTGGTTCGCCTGTAGCACCGCCATCGACAACTCCCCGCTCGAGCACCTCCCAATGTCCCGATAACGGAGCAACCCGTCTCTGACGAAACCATCAGCGCCGCGGGAATTACCCTCAAATGGCTTCCAACAAAGCGTGAGCTGATTCATCAACGCCTCCACCATCCCACATCTCTCGATTAAAAAACCCAAAAACCCTGATCTTCTCCTCCTCCTCCTCACCCAATTCTCCCCAATAAGGCCAAGTTTTTTTAGCCCCTCTTCATCCAAATTTTAAGAGAATATATATATATAGAGACAGAGGGGTAGAGAGAGAGAGAGAGAGAAGGAAACCCTAGGAGAGAGAATAGGGGTGGAGGGAGGTGGGGGTTGTTCGGTGGAGGAGGAGCATGGTTGTGTTCATTCTGTGTGGAAGAAGATGACGTAGGGAAGCCTTTTGTTGGGTGTCACTTTCACTGTCCGTGTATATATATATATATATCTGTATATCTTGTATAAGCATAATTTTGTATGTATGGACGTTGTATGCGAAACGCTCTTTTGCTTATGATAACAAATGGGAATTTCATTTCTAAAACTGCTTTCTTTGTTTTTGTTTTTGTTTTTTTGTCGCCTTTTGGGTTTTGTCCTTTTGCTTCAAACCGCTTTTGTTTTTCTGTTTTGTTTTTTTGTGTTTTTTTTTTTCATTCTCGGTAATTTTCTTCGACAGCATATCTACTGCCATGGTTTCGAGCAGGTAAAAAATTGACGAAGAAGACACTGACTGAAGGTTTTGTTGGGCCGGGCCATATTTGCGGATGATGGGCTCGGTAAATCGGGTTTACGGGTTAATGGTTTTTGTGCGTTTGTTTTTTCGGACTCTTTTTTTATTATTATTATATAGAAATTGCTTGTTTTATAACCAATTTGGAGACTTAGGCCTCGTTTGGAACTGTCTCTTTTAGTCTAAAAGTCAAAAAGTTACTAAAAAAATCAAAAAGCCAATAACCTATATCAAAAAGTCAAAGATTTCATTTTCTCTCTACTTTTTGCACATCTTTTCGTAAAAAATCAAAAAGTCATCCCAAACATACTAGTTTTTTTTACATCATATTTTAGCAAAAAAGCCAAAAAGTTACTAAAAAAACTTGTTCCCAAACGAGGCCTTAGGCTTTATTTGTCATCCTCTAAAAAAGTTAAAAAGTTAAAAAGTCGTTATCCTATTTAAGTCACATCACCTCTCTATCACATCATTTCATATCCAACCCATACCTGACTCATATTTCATAAAAATTCAAAAAGTACATTTATTTAGAACATCCCAAACAACCCCTTAGCTTAATTATAAGACAAAACTCTCTAGTGAGCTTAAAATAAAAATAAATTAAAATATTCAGTTTTCATAACTAATTCAGTAGTAAATTATGTTCATCTCTTTACATTGACGGTGAATTTGGTAGAAAATTTGTTGAAGCATGACTATGTGGGTGTTTTGGAAGTGGGTTTTTTATAGATTTTTTTGAAATTTTTTTTTGTGTTTAGAAAAATGTTAGATTTTTTTATGGTGGGATGTGATGTTTATGAGAGAAAAAGTGAAATAATTATGGAGTTTGATGTAATATTTTATTTGGACTTGTTTTTTTTTTAATTTTGTAATCATTTTGTCTTTTAGTGAAAAAAAAAAAAAAAAAACTAAAAAAATTCCTTCCCAAATAGCGCCATATGTATGAAGATATAAATCACATAGGTTAGTCTTCTATCTCACTAAAATGTTAGGGGTTTGACTCTACATATTTGATTGGGAATTTTATTTTCACTTTAGAAACTGTACACATTTGTAATTTACTTGTGTTGTATCAATAAATAACTAAATAAATAAAATTATTAAAAAGTTGTAATTTTAATATGTTGTCAAAATACAATAGTCTTTATAAACAATTGCATTGAAGGTGCTCAATTTTCTTAGTTGCCTAGTAGCGGCACCTAGATCAACCAAAACAGACTATTGCCATTGATTGTATCTCATGAGAAATGTTCAACCTAAAAAGAAAACTCTTTCCAAAAAAGGGGGTAGCCCTTTAGTTTTGCAAAGAACCTTGCATGTTAATTACTTGAAACAATAAACAAACTTTAAATTAATTACTTCAAACTACAATATGCCTAAAAAATAAATAAATCTACGGTGTGCGTATTTTTCTTAACTCTTTAAGACCTCATTTGTGTTGCAATAACCGAGCACATAAACTAATTATAGTCATACATATTAGATAGTGAGGTTATTATAAGTAAATAATTTCACTTAAATTGCTCCACCTATATTTTATGCGGTTGATTTTATGGTCCGTAAACTTGTTATTTGTGTTAAAAGGTATTGCCCATTTAATTGTTAACAAAAAAAAAAGCATAGAATGTTGGGTTAATCAGCTCATCAAATCTGTGATCAGTTTTCAAAATTTCCTTCCCCCATCTCCTCTACTCCACAAACCTCTGGGAATTAAATAGGCATTTGGGGAATAATAGATCATAGATGTTAGTTGAACAAATATAATAATGTAAATTGCAATGCTTACTATGCCCACATCTCATGAGCACACTAGTAGAGAAAGCCAAGACATGGATTAGCTTCAAGAATTGTTGCCCCACATTTGCTTGTGCAATCCAGCAAGACAAACAAGAAAATCAACATCAAGTCAACTGCAATGCTAATTTGGTCCCTACAAATTGGAGCAACAAAAGATTCTGCTGCCATAGATGCTTTCCCATGGGGTCATTGGACCAAATTACTGTCCCTTAATTATTCAGTCTCAAAATACTATATAACATCATTCAATAATTTGTATGCAGAGACCTAATTCCAATATTAATATAATTTGGAGATTCAATATCATGCTAAACAGACATCAAACTAAAAATATGTAGTTCCCAATGTTCCTCCTCACCTCTTATCCCACATTTAGTGAGTCAATCATACACGCTCATAGTATTTTCAATAAGTGACATAACAGAAAACTTTACTAATAAAACAATGTTAACCTAACTTTCTTAGCTAGTTAAAAAAAAAAAAAAAAAACCCCAAAAGACTCATCTAATATATTTTTTAATTATTTATCTTTTATGTTATATAAATAATATCCTATAATACTCTACAACTATCTAATATAATTTTGCAGTATAGTCATGGGGGGACTCTACTAAAAAATTGTCAAATGTGTCTCATGGAGATTGGGACTTCACAACCAATTTTCTATGAGGTGTGTCCGCAAGACAGGCCATGGCCCATGGCCAACCTATCCATTCAGAGCTCGTTTGAAAAGAAATAACTTGGGATTTTTTTTGGTTAAAATAATCAAAAAAATAAACAAAATAAATTAAAAAATTAATAAGACAAAATTTTACAACCAAACCATAATCACTTCATTTTTTCTCTTATAAAAGTCAAAAAAGCTAAAAAATCCATCCAAAACGAGATGTTTTAGTCCTAAACTAAAATAATTAAAAAGTCAAAAAATCAACCTACATCCCAAAAGAACCCTCAATCTGCTAGGCCTCCGCAACCGAGCCAAGGTTCTCTCCTTGCAGTCTCGTACTTGCGTCCGTCCTTGCAGGCCTTCGGGTCTACTTTTAGGCCCAATTTTGATAATCCGAACCGTTCATATTTTATAATTTATTCAGTATATCATACCTGTAAAAAATCAAGTTGATCGGATATCAGAAAGCATGTGTTCGAAAAATTGAACTAAAAATTATTTTTTAAAGAATTTAATAAACAGTTTTCCGAACACATGCTTTCTGATATCCGATCAACTTGATTTTTTACAGGTATGATATACTGAATAAATCATAAAATATGAACGGTTCGGATTATCAAAATTGGGCCTAAAACTAGACCCGAAGGCCTGTAAGGACAAGTGCAAGGATGGAAGCTGCAAGAAGAGGATCCTCATTCTCCGCAACCCCCTTTGCACTGCCACAACGCTGGAATGGATTGTCCAATCAATCTCTTTCAAGTGAAGAGATGAAACTAAGTAATTCTATTTGCACTCAAAAAAATTAATTAGTGTGCCTAATTTCTTAATATTCTTTACTAAATTATATAGGATTATAATTTATTCTCAATACACTCTGTGTTTTTCACAAGTTACTTTTCAAAATAAAATCATAATTTATGATATACTTAAATAATAAACAAATCAATTCAAATCCCTCTCTCTCTCTCTCCTCAGCCATAGCACTCCCTCACCCTCACTCTCACTCTCACTCTCATGTTTTTTCATTGATTACAATTTTTCATTATTTAGGATAGTGGTTTTTTTTTTTTTTTTCCGTTGATTTTTCACAATGATTGTTTAGGATAATGGTTGATCTTCGCAATGGTTGTGGCTGATCTTCGTTGATTTTCAATTTCGGCCTTTGTTCGTTGTTTGGCCTTTGTTCGCGATGGTTGTTTGGCCATTGTTTGGTTGACATCTACGTGAATGGTTGTTTGGCCATTGTTTGGTTTGATGGATTGTTTCAAAAGATATATTTGATTATTATTTTTATTTATTGTTTGATTTTGTTTTAAAAAAATTTATTTAGAAGTAACAACACAATAAGAAGCAATAATGTTTATGATAATGGTGAATTTTGGTAGGATAGATTGGAGTTTTAGAGTGAGGAACAAAATAAAGAGAAAATAATTGAAATTTGTGAAAGAAGATGAAGAGACTTGAATATGAAAAATAAATATAAGTGATTAGGGTGTACCATAAAAAAATATTTTAGGATTTAATGTGTATTGTCCTTATTGGTAAATTTATATTAGGGTCTAAAATAATAATTAAAATTTAAAAATTTTAGTTAGGCATACTGAATTACTATTTGGATGCAAATAAAATCACCCGATGAAGCTTTACCCATTTCCTTGTCTAATGACTTTGCTTAATTATCAAATAAATTAATGTTAGTATTTGAGAGGGTAATTTGTGTGAGTAAACTAGGTCGAGCTAAGTCCAGTCTTGAGCATTTGAGCCGAGTGATGGACCGAGGTAAGAGCTACAATAGCCTTGTCCTGGGCCATCTAGGCACCAAGCCAATTAGAGGTGTCTTTAGAGCCTTGACCGCGCTATCTAGAGCAAACCTAAGGCGGACCGAGGTAAGAACAAGGAAGAGGGCCAAGATAAGTATAGCTCAGCATTGGGCCCTCTTGCAATGATGATTACCATGACTTAACCTACAGTAGCATGGGGCCACGGAAGCTCGGTTGAATGTTGTGTTTGTCGAGGTAAAAGGTCTAAGCCATCTCACTTAACTGGTAGCGAGCAGGGTGCTACAAGGGTAGGTATTATCTTTGGAAGTGTGATTCCTAAGAGGATTCTGCTAAGGAGATTTAGAATCCTACTAGGATTGTGTCAGACAAAATCTATAAAAGCTCATGATAGGACCTATGTACAGGTATTGCAATTCTTACTCTCAATTACACAGAGTTTTTGTGTCTATTGTCTATTCACTGACTTAGGCATTGGAGAGCTTTCCAGCACACCCCCG